TCTGCGCCCGAAGTGTGGCAGCGCAAAATGAATGATGCAATTGATGGTCTTCGAGGAGTAGAAGTCCTAGCTGATGATTTTCTATTGTGTGGGTTTGGAGACAGTGTTTCTGAGGCAATCTGGGATCATGATCAGAATTTAACCGCATTCCTCCGAAGGTGTCGCAAATTAAACCTGACGCTAAATCCTCAAAAAGGTCAAGCTCCGCCTGTCTGAAGTACCATTTATGGGATATTTGTTAACTGCTGGTTGCATTATTACAGATCCAAACAAGGTGCGGGTTACAAAGGACATGCCCATTCCAACAGATCTGAAGTCACTGAAAAGATTTCTTGGAATTTTCAACTATCTTTCAAAGTTCCTTCCATACCTATTCAGTGTATCTGAGCAGCTGCTTCGTCTTGAAGTTAAAGATGCTGAGTGGTGTTGGCTCCCGGTTCATGATAAAGCTGTCCAGAATATCAAGAGTTTTTTTTGTAAAGCCCCAGTATTGAAGTTTTATGATATTACTCAAGACACTACAGTCGAAAGTGATGCTTCACGTTCCGGACTTGGCGCCACCCTACTTCACGGCGGGGGGGGGGGGGGGGGGGGGATTTCTGTGTCTCTGTCGTGTTTTAGAAGTTGAGGGTGGGTGGGTGGGTGTTCGCCGTGATTAGTATGAACAACGAGAAAATTAATTTTTTTTTTGTTTGCACACCTATCTTTAATTTATTATATTTCAAAAAGAACCCAACAGAAGATGGTGTCGCTGCTGTCCGCGGCCGGCCCCCGCCCCCGCCCGGGGGGGGGGGGGGGGGGGGGGGGGGGGGTTAGGCATTTTGCATTTGCTTGTAGGGCATTAACGCCGGCTGAAGGCCGTTACGCTCAAATTGAGATGGAATTACTCTCAGTAGTCTTTGCACGTAAGATGTTCGATACTTACCTAGGACATTGTGCATGTGAAAACAGATCATCAGCCATTGGAAACTATGCTTAAGAAAGACCTCAGTTCTGAGCCTAAGCGACTCCAGCGGATGTTATTACTGCTTCAGCGCTACAACCTTGATGTGAAGTACCAGAAGGGAGACAAAATGGTGATGTCAGACCCCCTCTCAAGAGCCTGTGTGGATGAACCTCCCTGACAGCCAGAGTATTGCCATGAGCTTGAGAAAATCGTTCTAGTAGATGATCTACCCATCTCTTATGCGCGTCTAAACAGTTTCAGAAAAGCCACAGCCTGTGATTCAAACCTTCAAGTCCTAATGTTCACGGTCCTAGAAGGTTGGTATAGTATTGAAGATGGAGTTCCTCAAGAAATCAAGTCTTACTTCTCCTGCAGAGAAGAAATCATGGTCCAAAATGGTTTGCTGTTCAAGGGTGAATGTATCATTGTACCCGCTCAGTTAAGAAAGGAAATGATGGAGAAGATTCACTCGTTCCACCTGGGTATCGAAGGATGTCTCCGCCGTGCAAAGTAAGTGTTCTACTGACCCAGGATCAATGCTGAATTGAAAGATGTCATTCTCAAGTGTGATGTCTGTAATTCTTATAAGCCAGAGCAGCCTAAAGAACGTCTAATGCCACATGAATTTCCAACGAGGCCCTGGCAAAAGGTTGGAGCAGACCAGATGCAGTTTGATGGACACCAGTACTTGATAACCGTTGACTATTATTCCTCGTTCTTTGAAGTAGACAAACTACAGTCCACGGATTCCAGAACTGCTGTTGAGAAACTGAAATGCAGTTTAGCCGTCATGGAATACCAGAGATGGTCGTATCCTACAACGGTCCTCAGTATGATTCCTGTGAACTTTCGAAGTTTCCAAAAGAGTGGATTTTTTAGCATTTTATCTCTTCTCCCCGCCACCCACAAAGCAAAGGAAAGGTGGAGAATGCTGTAAGATTCTGCGAAAGCATCATGAAGAAGGCAACTCGGGGAAAGTTTGATCCTTATCTGTCCCTCTTAGACTATCGTTATACACCTACGGATGTTGGCCTCCTCTCCGGCCGAAAGGCTTTTGAGCAGAAGAACGCGCAACCTGCTACTGCTGACACCCAAGCAGCTTGAACCTGTGACAGTGCCTCTGCGAGACGTACAACAAAGGCTAATTGCCTCCAGACAAAAGCAGGTGTACTATTACAACCTCAAAGGGAAAGCACTGCCTGAAGTACAGCCCGTTCAGGTTGTTAGAATGAAGAAACCAAATGAAAGCACCTGGACCAAAGCTGTTTGCGAGAAGATGATTGGACCACGATCCTATGATCTTGTTTCCGGTCACCGAACCTATCGTGGAAATGGTAGACAGCTACGTTTGGTTCCACCCACAGATCAAGCAGTGAGCAGTCATGTGAGCAGTAAGCAGTCACATGCTACTGGTGGTAGTCAGGTCCTCAACCAGTGTGCGTCACCCATTAAGAATCTTGAAGGACCCCAACCTGTTCCAGCAGATCCCAATACAATAGCTCTTCCTTTTGATTTAACATCCAATTCTACCATCACAAGGAGTGGCCGCACTGTAACGCCTCCAGTCCGTTTAAGATTACATGACTTAGGAACTTTTCGAGCAGTGACTTTGATGTAGAAGCCTTATTTTAGGACTTTTTTTCTGAGACATCTACGTGTTCTTTTCAGTTCTTTGTACAGGGGAGGATGTTATAATATCATGATGTTATTTTTGGCTTGCATGCGTCACGTGATCTATCCTTATGTAACATAGACCTCGTGGACGAAGTTCGGCTTGGATGCATACAGATTAAAGCTTGTTGATGTTGCGTTAGCTCAGTTAGTTGTCTCTCAGCTATCATAACAATGCTCTCATTTCAACTATCCTCATTTTTATATTTTACTTCCCTTTAAAAGTTACCATAACCTAAATTAATAAACTTATTTTGCATATATAATTCTGTCTCTTAACTCCTTCAGATCGAGTTGTCTTGGTTTAACAGACAACCAGAAACGTTGGCTTGTTGGTGGAATAGTACTCAACAAGGTTCTCATACCAAAGATCCGTCCTTTCGTAGAACAAGAAATTGATAAGGAATACACCAATCTTAGGACAAGCCACAAAATTCATACACAGAGTTCCTCTGGTCGTCTTCAAAAGTGGCCAAAGTTTTTGAAGTATGAGAATGTTAATAAGAATGACCTTCTTCCAAAGCTTCCAGGTGGGAAATGGAACTACTCCAAGTTTGACTGCAAAGTATTGTCTCACATTGACTTTGCAAAGTTGTTCGTTGAAAATTTCATGGCCAAGTTTAACGCCTTCGATGACCATTGTGATGCTTCAGCTGTACTGACATTGCTTGGGAGTGTTCCTGTGTTCTTAGGCCCTGTGCAGACTGCTGCTGGTGTTGTAAGAGGTGCAAGGAATGACTGGGCGCACTGTGTGTTCAGTAAATGGGACCTCGTCAAGTTTCAGCAGGTCTTTATTGATATGACTTATCTTGTAACAACCTTGGGTTTACCAGCTGCAGATGAAGCAAAGCTTCTTGGAGAACTGAAAGACTGGGAAACAAAAGGTAAGGAACTATTGACCACACAAAGTTATGATGATTAAGTCAGCATCTACAAACGAACTTGACAGCGAGTAGTCACCAATTTCGTCCTGTTAGGAATTATGGTCACCTGATGACTATACACCACACAGACTAGATTATGTAACGAGAATTTAATGGCTACATTGGTCCGCTAAATCCAGTGGCCGCCGTTGAAAGCTTTTAAAGCCGTTCAGTTTATGAATGAGCTTTACAAAATTTGAAGCAATGCGTTTGAAAAATTTGTCTCCAACTTGTCAACCTACGTTTGTTGGCATTTTTACATGTAATTTAGACATTCAGTTTTTGGTTTGGCATTTGCTCCGATAGGGATATAAAAAGCTTGGCTTCGCCTTAAGTTGAGCACTACAATGCGTTATTGTTTCAAGAAGTTTTCCTTGTGGTATTTTGGGTGGTTTAAAAGATTTTTTTCCACTGCAAAAATTAGGTGTCATTTCTATGACTGTTAAATCGTATCACGTCACAGTTGGTTGGAGCGGCGTTGTTTCACACGGTCATTTACTAGCGGTTGAAGTTTGTTAAAGATCAGAGGACTAAACCTTTGTTATCAAGAACATTGTTCCCTTCGACTGAAAACTTTAATTTATAATCCGTCAGGATAGTAATAGCTTATGAGAAAAATAGTTCCCAATATATCCCATTCTCTTGATCTAGAAAAATTTTTTTTCTAGATGATTATTTTCAAGTCTAAACAATTTTTGCTTTCATTGCTTCTTTTTAAGGTACGTGCCTCTGCATGAACTCACCTGTGGATCAACATTTGCTTCAGCTGGTTCAACAAGACATAAAGTCACTAGAAGATGCTGTGGAAAATATGTCAGAAGAATCAGAGAAAGAAAAGAAGAAAGTTCGTGACGAACTGCAGAAGTTTTGGACCACTTTAGAGGACATGAAGCTTAAAGTGGAACTGGTTGAAAATAAAATTGATGTTGTCGAAAACAGAGTTGTTGGTGTTGAAAACAAAGTTGGTGTTGTTGAAAACAGAGTTGATGATGTTGAAAACAAAGTTGAAAGTTTTGAAAACAAATTTGATGGTGTTAAAGACAGAGTTGATGGTGTCCAAAGTAGAGTTGATGGTTTTGAAATCAGAGTTGATGTTGTTGAAAACAGAGTTGATGGTGTTGAAAACACAGTCGGTGGTTTTGAAAACAAAGTTGAAAGTTTTGAAAACAGAATTGATGGTGTTGAAAACAGAGTTGGTGATGTTGAAAACAAAGTTGATGGTTTTAAAAACAAAGTTGAAAGTTTTGAAAACACATTTGATGGTGTTGAAAACAGAGTTGATGGTGTCGAAAGTCGAGTTGATGTTGTTGAAAACAAAGTTGATAGTGTTGAAAACAAATTTGATGGTGTTGAAAACAGAGTTGATGGTGTCGAAAGCAGAGTTAATGATGTTGAAAACAAAGTTGATGGTGTGGAAAACAGATTTGATGATGTTGAAAACAAAGTTGATGGTGTTGAAAACAGAGTTGATGGTGTTGAAAACAGAGTTGATGATGTTGAAAACAAAGTTGATGGTGTTGAAAAGAGAGTTGATGATGTTGACAACAAAGTTGATGGTGTTGAAAACAGAGTTGATGATGTTGAAAACAGAGTTGATGGTATTGAAAACAAAGTTGATGGTGTTGAAAACAGAGTTGATGGTGTTGAAAACAGAGTTGATGATGTTGAAAACAGAGTTGATGGTTTTGAAAACAGAGTTGATGGTGTTGAAAACAGATCCCATGGAATAGAGAACATAGTTGATGGTGTTGAAACCAGAGTTGGCAGAGTTGAGGGAACTGTATCTGAACTGAGAGGTATATATTTAATGACTTGAATTTTTTGTTGACTAAATTTTGCACGTAATTTAAGAGAGCATGGGATACATAAGAGGTTAAAACAGACTTAATTTTGTGAATACATTTTCATTAAGTTATTAAGTAGTTCCATTGCAGTTTCAGATGTGCTTAGATTTATTTTGGACAGCTGTCATGTACATTTTAAATTTTCTTTCCAGTGTCAGTCCAAACCACAAGCGGCAGAGTGGAGAGCCTGGAGGACGAGTTACGAAAAAATTGTGAAGAATTGTTAAAGCGTACAAATTCAGGTAGACTTTTCCTTTTGAAGCTTAAAATTGAACTCTATTTAGTAATAATATAAATACTATTCTTTAGCTGAGCATGTTATGGAGAAGTTTTTAGGGCAGAAATTTTACACGAAATAACGTCTTGAAAAGCACTTTTGTTTCGTTTCAAAAAAAAATTACAAAAATGACCAAGCTTGCATTTTGCAATAGCGTAAATAAGTTGTCCGTCTCTGCCTATTCGGATGTATTAAATTGACAACAAACTCTATGGAGTTAAACGTTTGGCAAATGAGGTTGTGAGGTCCTCCCCCCCCCATGGAAACCAAGTAATTACAATGTTTATTTGCCATCGATCCTTTTATAAGTACAAATTAACATGGATTTGTGTGGTCGTGTATGTGAACAAGGTTTGACCAGGAGTAAAAACCTGATCTCAAAAAGGTAGCGGTTTGAGAAAAAATCCAAAAAACAGATGCGGGGATTCGTAAACATGATTTTCTTGTTTCATCCCCACCACACATCGCATATAGACATGGTGGAAGACTGTTTCAATTTTCACCAAGGCCCCGCTGTTATGGCAAAAACCCGTCGCGGCCGGATTGAAGGCTCACCCTCCCAGCCGAGTAAACTTTAGCGAGCGTTTATATGGGTGAAAAGTTGACCCTTTGCCCGATCCAAAGGGGCTAGGGCATGCGGTGATTGTCTCAGCGTGACTAAGTTGACTTGGCTGGGCGAGCCAAAGTATTTATTTGGAGAAAAGATGAGTTGGGTGATGGTTCAATATGGTTTATTTCATATATTAATTCAGTGGTAAGCAGTGGTCAAGACGATGAAGGTCTTTCATTATTCTTTTTAGTCCTTGCAGTAGGATCCGTATATTTCGATAAAGGTACACTGCACTGAATGAAACACTTCCTTTTCTTCTTAAGGCACGCAGATTTTGCTCGGTCAACCTAGTCTACCACCAAATGCCTGTGAATTTATTGGCCGCGAGAGAGAGATCAAAGAGATTGCGAGCCACTTGAAATCTCCATTAACTCGAGTCGTTTCCATCTATGGCCCACCAGGATCTGGCAAATCTGAGGTTGCAATAGCAGTGGGTCATAATCTCAAATCTGAGGGAAAGGCCATTTACCACATTAAACTTACTGACGTCAACACAGAGGATGACCTAATATCAGCAATTCTGCGTTTTTTTAGCGACCAATCGCTGGGACCCCTGCAGCCGCTCGATTTCCTGTTAAAACAGTTTAGTTTAATTTAAGATTCTGTTTCGCCTTTTTTTACTCTAGACAACGCCGACAGCTTATTGCAAACAAAGAAATCAAGAGACCGCTTTTTGAAAATAATTAAGCAAATTATAATGAGTTGTGCCAGTGTAAAAATCTTGGTTGCTACCAGAGAATCATCTGAGTGTAGAAAACTAAAACCGCTAGGGCAAAAGTTAGTAAGAATAGGATCTGTTGACAACGTATTTTCTCAGAAACTAGTGCAGAATTGCTTTCCTGAAGGTTGCGACAGAGACTGGAGGAAAGTCGCGCTGTTTTGCGGACATATGCCTTTTGCTATTAGACTCTTTTGTAACAACATGCCCCGAAATGAGTTGCCGTTAAGCCAAGCCATAGACAACTTTATCAGTTTGATTGAAAGTGATCTATCTCTTAACCTACTAGTTCTGCTCGATCTTCTTCTCTTTGACTTACGATAGAACCTTACATCATACCAGATACTCTCTCCCGAAAACAAAGAATTTTACGTATCATTGTCCGTGATTCCTGGCTTGTTTCATGAGACGGTTGCCGCAACTGTGTGGGGAATATCAACGCATGATGCTCAACGGACGCTGCAAAGTCTTCAGAGAAAGTCGCTTATAGATTCTTGCGTTGAATCCAAACCATACAAAGTTCACAATATTTTTCGCTTGTTTGCACGGCAAAAAGGAGCACGAGAAATGAATGAGGTCATTGTAAGGTCGACAACGCGTTTTATACAATTCTATACTGCGCTTTTCGCTGAGCTTAACGATGGCTTTCTTTCTGGACAGTCTGTGTCAGCTTTCATAGACTTCTACGAAGACAAACAAAATATCATGTCAAGTTTAATCAACGGTTGTTTAAACTTTTCAACACGCGACAGTTGTTTTGACGGCTTGACTAAGGGGATGTTGTTTATGGACGCTGTTTTATGGAGCGACCGAGCCTCTTTCAACAGGATCTATGATACAGCTATAACTGAGGCAAAGCAGAGTACAGATTCAACTGCATACAATGAGTTGGTTCTTGCAAAAACATTCAGTGAAGTAACATGGGGAACAGAAGAAGTGGAAACAAAGCAGCTGCAATGTAGTACAAAAGAGGTTCTGTCCTGCGATTCAGATGAGCAGAAAGGAAAACTATTATGCTATCTTGGCATCCACAAGCTCGCGAATGGACAAATCAAGGATGGTGTTAAACGTTTGGAAAACTCTCTTGCATATTTGAAAAACATAGGTGACCCAATGCAGAAGATCCTAAGGATCCTCACTTTGCAGATTCTTGAGCAATATTATGAATCAAAACAAATAGTTGATAAGGCGGCCACATTTTTCGAAAAGGCAAAAAAGGAATGTGGAACAGACGAGCAACAAGGCCTTTTTCTCATTCCCAACATACCAGACAAAAACGCTAAGATCAAAGAAAACAAACGGAGGATCGCTAATGAAGAAAATCGGCCGCTTGAGTTGGAGATATACTTTCTTTTAACCAAGGCAACAAAAATGTTCCCCTCTGCCAAAACAATGGAATTATTTGAACGAGAAGTTACCAAAATGAAGAAAGAAATGGAGCAAAAATGCAACTCAGAAGACAGTCTAAAAGTAGGTTCACTGTATATCCATCGGTTTGTTGTTAGTGTGCTCGCAGAGATGACCAGATACAAAGAAGCAATTGAATCAATTCAGGCTGCAATACGTCATCAGGAAAATGTCATTTCAATGGTTGAACACAGCAAGGAGACGCAGAAAGAGGAATTGGCGAGAAGCTACTCCTACCTTGCCGTCCTTCAATTCCGCTATCAAGATTACAGTTCAAGCCTCAGGTCACAAAGGCGTGCAATGGACATTAAAAGAGAGATTTTTGATGAACAGCATCCAGATGTCGCCGACAGTTACCACGAATTTGCGATCATCTCCAGGACTATAGGAGATTGCGATTCAGCTTTACAGTTTCAAAAGCGTGTTCTTGAGATTCGTTTAAATCTTGCTGAACAAAACCCTTTGAACGTGGCCGCCAGCTATCATGAATTAGGGGTTACGCAGTGCAAAATGAAAGACTATTCCTCTGCGTTGCGGTCACATGAGAGTGCGCTTACAATAAGATTGGAGAATCTTGGTACAAAACACAGAGACACCGCCAGCAGTTATCATGAGTTAGGAGTTACACAGTGGTATCTGGAGAAATACCAGTGCGCTCTTGATTCGCATCAGAACACACTAAGGATCTTACTTCATGTCATGGGAGAACATCCCAGAGCAACAGCAGACAGCTACCACGAAATTGGCAAGACTTATTTCTGTCTAGGAGATAACCGCGCAGCTCTTCAGTCGCACCTACGCGCATTTCGTTTGAGGTTAGAAGTATTAGGTGAGCAGCACACTGACACTGCCAACAGCTGCTGTGAAATTGGGGTCACGCAGTTTGAAATGGGATGGTATGCCTCCGCTCTTCAGTATTTCACTCGCGCACTGAACATGAGACAGACAATGCTTGGCAACTCGCCGCATTCAGAGGTTGCTCAAAGTTTCTATCAGTTAGGACGCGTGCAATGTCAGATGGAAAACTTTGACGAGGCTGTCAATTCTCTTAGCCGAGCACTTTCGATTAGGAAAGGTCTAAAGCAAGAACAAGACCTTGAAGCAGCCGAAGTTTATCACGAATTAGGGAGGGCGTTTATTCACAAGGAAGACTTCACATCAGCGTTTGAAATGCATCAGCTTGCTCTTGGAATCCGCGAGAGTGAAATGGGTGAAGCACACGCATCAGTAGCCGACAGTCTCTTTCAGCTGGGTCTGGTAGAGTGGGAACAAGGGAGACATGAGGAGTCACTTCAGCTGCATCGAAGAGCAGCGGATATTAGGGAGAAATACTTTGGCAAGAAGCACCATAGAACGGCCGAAAGTTATTTCCAGCTTGGGCTGATGCTTTCTGAGTTGGAACGCCACAGTGAAGCCCTAACATTACACCAACAGGCACTAGAAATAAGGCAGAAATGGTTGGGTTATTATATGCACAGCTCATTAGCTGAAAGTTACCTCGAGACAGGCTGCGCCTTAATTAACGTTGGTCAGTTCGGTTCTGCGTTCAGTTCAGTTGAGAATGCTCTGACGATAAGGACTCGGATAGTGGCACAAGAAGAAGGGGAGGTAGCCAACTTGCCCCATGAAAAGAAAGTGAAGGAATTACTATTGCAAGATCACCAATCATCTCTTCAGTTGTACAAGCGTGTATCGACGATTATTCATGATCATTCTTCAAGTGTTCGCTCACAGAATAATTCACTAAAGGAGCTACTTGGTAGATTTGAGGGCCAACTAACAAAAAAAGCCAGCTGTTACTTTGACGTTGGTCAGGAAGAGTTCAATAGAGGTAAATTGGAAGCAGCCCTTCGTGCACACCAGCGAGCCCTGAATTTTAGAGTGATGCTACTAGGTGAGAACCACAGAGATACAGCCTCCAGCTTCGTCTTAAAAGGAAACGTGCACTTTGAAATGAGGGACTATACTCAAGCTTTGAAATCACACCAGAGAGCTCTTGAAATAAGACGTAAAATACTCCTGGATAATCATCCTCACACAGCTGACAGCTATGCTAACGTTGGAGTCGTACAAAATGCATTAGGACACTATACTTCAGCCCTTCAATCATTCCAGCGAGCACTTGAAATAAGACGTAAAACAGTTGAGGAGAACTACCTAGCCAATGTGGACAGCTATAGAGGCATTGGAATTGCACATCGGGGATTGGGAAACTTTGATTCAGCGCTTCAGTCATTTCAGCAAGCTCTCAAAATTGCCCACGAAAAACTTGGGGATAACCACCCAGAAACAGCTAACTGTTATGAAGACGTTGGGAACACCTTGGGAGACGACACTTTAGCCCTCCTGTTCAACAAGCGAGCTCTTGAAATAAGACGTGGAATACATGGGGAGAAGCACATAGACATAGTTTCCAGCCATAATAGCATTGGAATTATACATCATCGTATGGGAAACTATACTTTAGCCCTTCAGTCAGGCAAGAAAGCACTCAAAATGGGCCGTGACCTCAATGGGGATAACCACCCAGACACGGCTGTTTTGTACTTGAACATTGGGGTCACACAAGGTTTAGTGAGAGACTATACTTCAGCAATTCAGTCATTCCAGCAAGCACTTAAAATAAAGAAAGAAAGCCTTGGGGATAACCATCCAGACACAGCTGAACTCGAGCTTTATCTTTTAGTAACTCAATTAGGAGAAGCAGCACAAGGACTTGCTCCGATTTCCAATTTACGCCAGCCGGTACTCAGAAAGAGGCTTATGAATAACAATCCAGACGCAGCTATCAGTTACAATGTCTCTGGGTTCACAGAAGAATCATTGGGACGCCACGCTTTACTTCTCCGTTCACGTCAGGGAGAACAGGTTAGGGAAGAAATCTCTGGGAAAAAACACTCAGAGTCATCTAATACCTCCGATAAATTTGGGTTCATAAAATGCGCCCTTGTAATTTTACTTATTTTAATGATCTTATCATTTCGTATTCTTCCTGGCTTTTCCAGCAGTGAAAAGAGATTCATTTAATTAAAAGTTACTGTATACGTTGTCTCAAATCTCGTTGCAACGCTTATTTTTTTTTATCCGCGAAATAAAGAACCTATTGAACGTCAACGTGTGCTATTAAAAGGATTCAAGTCAATGCAGTTTTCAAGATGAATGTCCTGACACGAGCACTATAATGCTCTGAGTTAACTGAAGTAGTTGTAAGGTGCAGTTACATCTTGTCTGCAGACTCTGATACTTGTGTTATGAATGATCTAGAAAACGGTCTGAATATCGTGTAAGAGCAATTCTAAAAAAGTTTAAAGTTTATTTATAGTCATTTACTCGACTCAAACAATACCAAACGACACGCTCTTCAAGTCAATATTAAAATCGGAACTCGAGAAGGCTTAGTTGTGACATGGTTTGGTTTGCTAACTAGTTGCGGTATGTAAGGCAAACTTTCAAAACGCTTCAACAATTTCTTTTTCTTACTTTACCTTTTCAAACAAACTTTTGAGAGAATTTAAAATTAAAATTTTCCTAAGACATTTTTTGATCAGACTTTGGCTTAGAAGACATTGCTTTGAACAATAGCTTTTACACTGCGGTTGCTACTGTAACCTAAGATGCTAAAGAATTGGTTTGGGAGCTCCCTTAAAATCAGATAACATTGAACAGCATCATGACGGTCAAGACATTGCTTGGAACAATAGCTTTTACACTGCGATTGCTACGGTCCCCAACGAAAAAAATCGGCGTGGGAGCTCCCTTAAATTCAGGTGACATCGAACAGCATCATAATTATCACAGTGAAGCCACTTTTGACCTAACAAGTTGGAGCTTTCTTTGGCAAATAATCAATACGTGTAATAACAATAACTATGCCGCTATTGACCTAAAAATGGTCACTAATTTACCTAAAAATTTTTTTTACCATGATATAAATATACAAATATATCATATAAAATAGGATAGAACAGGAGCGTATTGAAATATCAAATAATCGATGAAACAAAGATGTCCGAATATTAAAAGGGTCTTTAAATTGCGTTTAAAAGTAGCTAGTGTGCACACTATTCCATTGTGTTGGTGCATAAAAGAATCTGACACGAAGTGTAGTAAGAAAGCATTTTGTCTTTTGGCGGCTCCAGCAACAAACTACTATTGGACCATAAGGCGCTTACCATTAGCCAAGTGGCTGGCGAGACCATTTCCATCGAACAGAGAATTATGTCCAGCCAGAGCAGAAGTCATAGAAATTTGTTGAATATTTCCTGCTGGAAAACACTATTATAAAGTAAATAAATATAGTAGGAGCTGTTACACTTGTTTAAGCTTCAGTGTAAATAGGCGCATTTGTATAAATGGACCTTTATCTGTTTTTGCATCGAATTCCCGCTTAGAGTTTGAGTTTCTTCATACCCGCAAATCTAATGCTCTATTCACGTCAAAGAAACGTTGGCCTAAAAAACTCTTACTTGTGGTACAATTTAGGGAGAACTGTCAAATTAGTGTTTAAAAATTAAGGTAAAGCAATTTTTGCATAATTAAATTAAATGCTGTGTGAACATGGCAAAATAGAATAGATTGCGGCTCTGTGGTAGATTCGTTTAGTAGCTTTTGTTGACCAGTGAACATGGAATTTAGAGGGTTTTATAACTTTTTTTTATAACTTTTATAATGTTTTGATTTCAATGTACAATCTGTACTTAATGTGATGAAATAAGAACTGATAGTTAGTATCAATTATATGATAGAGATCTTTAAACAATCATGTAATGACTTGAAGTAACTATTTGTACAAAAAAGAAATGTTAACTACTTTCTAAAAAGTGTTTTCTCATATTTTAAGTTGTTTTGGCTGCCAATATTAGGGTCTGTTTACTGACGAGGGAGGGTAACCCTAGTGCCATGTTGCAATAGGAACAGGGTTACCCTGGCACCCCGTGCATTTCTTCGTTAATTTTCATACAGCCTGATTACAAGGCAGATAGGGTTACCCTGTGCTGGTGCTGGGGTAACCCCATCTGAGCCCTTGGGTCACCATAGCGCCAGGGTATTGTTGACCAGAGCTCTAGTAGAAATAACTCACTCACTTGGGGCAACTTTGCTCCGTTATGTGTGACCAGTAGTAGATTTGAAAATTCGAATGGATTTTCCAATTTTTGAGCAAAATTTTACCTGAATCAGTGCATGGAATCTTGCGTTTCCTGCTTTTATTTTACCTATTGTGTGTAATATGTGTGGGAATACTAGCCTTATACAAGCCTTCTGTAAGCCTTTTTACGCGTAGTGCAAGTATCTTACAAAGCCTTCTGTAAGTCATACACAAGAGACAAAGGCAACCGACAAAGCTTTTGTAAGGACTCGGTCTTTTTAAGTTTTAAAGAAGGCGTTGGTAAGAAGGTTTCTTAGGAATGAACTGTTTTGATTTAATTTTGGTTATTTAGTGACACAGCAACTAAAATAGGGTAATTTTAATGGAGTGGAATATAAAAGGTGTTCTATATTATATTATGTTACTGTTTTTATGTAATGTTCTGTGTCTAGCTGCTGAGAATGATCCTGAAAGCTTTAAGATACAGGTATATTTCAAAGAGCTACCCAAAGATCGGCGAGGGATGCAACTGACTGACAAATTTAATTTTATAAAATAATAACTGATATTTAGTATTAATTGTACGACAGAGATTAAACAATCATGTAATGAATTTAAGTAACTGTTTGTACCAAAAAAATGCTAACTACTTTGTAGATATTTTTTTGCTCTTATTTTAAGTTGCTTACACTGCCTTATATTAGGGTCTTTTTACTAAGAAGGGAGGCTAACCCTAGTGCCAGGGTTACAATAGCAACAGGGCTGGTGCATTTCTTCGTTTTTCATACTGCGTGATTACAAGACAGATATGGTTACCCTGTGCTGGGGTAACCCCACCTGAGCCCTTGGGTCACCATAACGCTAGGGTATTGTTAGTCTCCTGCAAAGGAGACTAGGGTATTGTTGACCAAAGCTCTTATAGAAATAACCCACTCACTTGGGACAACTTTGCCCCGTTATGCGTGACCAGTAGTGGACTTGAAAATACGAATGGATTTGTCAATTTTTTGGGCAAAGTTTTACACATCTGAACAATATTTGCTCTGTGTCAGTGATTTAGGTATTTGTCAGTTAATTCGTGACTTTTAGCGCGTTTCCGAGAGATATCCACAATTTCAATCTCCGACGTTACAAAGAAATAGGTATTCAAATGCTTTATTGGTCAGACGTGACGTGGGGTGTCTGTTTATAAAGTTGACCCGGGTAACGGGGTAACGGGGTCAAAGAAATTGTCATTAAACTTGAGGTTTCTTTTGACCCTTTTACTATCACATGGTAACGTAACACTATAGCGTTATGCCTAAACAAGCCTCAGTCAGATGCATTGGTTTAACAATTTTGTAATAAGTTAGTGCTAGTGAAATTGTTAAATAAAGAATGTATTGAGCCTTAATGTGTTTAATTGGTAACTTTCCTGGGAGGACATCTTGATCTACCGGTTTCTGAGGGCCGAGCACCCTTCAAAAATACGCTTTCATAAAGTCGATGTGCCTCTTTTATGCTTTTTTTATGTAAGTGGAACAATTCATCCTTTCAAAAAAATGTTGTTAAGTGATAAAAGTTAATCGCTTATGTTGCCGAAGGGGTGCTGATAAAGCTTCAAGAAACCGTAATACGAACTGACCCCAAATGTTGAACCAAAAGCCTTCTGGTAAACTCAGTCTTAGTTTCTCTCGAATCTCTTTTTGTTTGATTATGATTGGTTTTAGACCACAGGTCACTTAGGGTCTTTTTCCCCACTCACCTCTTGATCAGCGTCTTTTTCTTTCCAATTATAAGGCCGTTGGGTTTGGATGGAAAAATTGAAGTATGGCGTCTCGATCGTGTCTCGATGTTTTTCTTGTGACCTCAAAGACACTATTACTAGCTTTGTCTCGGTTTTCAACGCAATTCATGGATAAATGAAGCTTTTTGTCTGGCAGTATCGACGAAAAGTGTAGAACCATGCATGTCTTTGTGGTTGTTGTATACAGTTATTTCGAGAAAGGTTGTCGGAAGAAATGTGCGCGCGACAATCCCGAAAGGTAATATGGGATATGATCAATACACTGTTCCTGACGACTGCAGCTGTCGAACCTACTTTTGTTGCTTTTCTTTAGCACTCGCAAACACATTTCCATGGCCTTTCGTGCCATAAGAAAGTTTAAAGAAACTTTTTGTATCTTGAGTTTCGGTGGGTGTTACGGAAAGTCCTAACAGCGCACATGAAAAAGGCTGTTGAAATCTCGAAAAAGCTGTAACGCTAAAAGGTGAAGACGCCGCCCAGGCTTAATCTTAGTGATTTTCCTGAAACTCTTTGGAAAAGCGGGCAGTTGAATTGAAATGAGTGGGAGTGCTGGTTAAAAAATTGAAATCGGATTCCCAGCGAGGTGTGTCCGGTAGATCTAGATTATCAAAACGTTATTGTGTTGTGCAAATTTAATTCAACTCTTGTACAACTTTTAGTCTTCTCCCCTACTTAATTCAAGCTTTTTCTTTTGTAAGAAAATACTGTGCAAGCCTTAAAATACAAGTGCATCACTGTCTACTCTGTTTAGCTATACCGCACGTCCTGTTGTCGTGAATGCCGTTTAGATATGGCTTACCGTATCCCCCAGTATATGCTCTAAAACTTCAAAATCGTTAGTGTACTAACAATTAATTGACAACTTATAAACGGCCTTTCGCTACAAATTCCCACTGAACAGTTGCCTTTTCACTGCTTTCTGCACGCAGAGAAAAACAAAAGCCTTCGGGTTGAGGGCAGTCGGCAGGAATAGCTCATTTCCAGCATGTTTAAAACTATGATTACATCATCACCAAAAATTATAGCAGTCATTGAATGAGGGTCTGAGTATAATGCGAAGAATTTTGCAGATCGAGAAGACTTTTATCCACCGAGGCGAAGGTCGAGATGGATTACAGCCTCCGACAGATTTGAGAAATTCTGTGCATCATACGA